AGAAATCCCAAAATATCCAAGTTACGAAAATTTGGAGGCTACACGAGCAAACGTTCCATAAACCGTCAAGTCGCTGCAGCAGTTATCCCTATTTCCACTTACGTTTTCTATGATGTGCGGACTATCTCCACTTTCTCTCAAAAATTACACTCCCCAGTCTTCGAGCACTACTTCCCAGGTGGAGGAGGCTGCTGAAATCGAGTCTAGTATGGAAGGGTGATGTGTGTGACCATACCGTGAATTGACAAGTTGTACCTTAGACTTATTGGAAAAAGAAATAAACTTGGTACAGTACATGTGGTCTTTAAATACATTACTTACATTCATGCTCACAGGGCTTGACGAAACTGTCACAAGTTGAAGGTAGGCTGGGTCACTGAGATTCCGTCGACGAAGGAAGAACCCCCAGTGCTAGATATATGGCGTGCTTTTAACCTAGGGGTACAGGTACTGTACCTCATACAGAAAGTCTGTGGATTTCCACTGTTCCCCTTCCTTGACTAGGTCAAGCGATCTTCAGCGGAAGAAGATGAGGGTTACCACGCGTTCTTTCAGTTCGTGTGCGCGAGGTGTATGGTCCGGATCCGCTCTCACAATCATCTAGCGAATGATCAGGGGTATATTTGTCGACGTGCTGGGGCGGCCCGAGTCAGGCCACATGAAGAGTGACGTCCTCACATTTGCACGCAGTGCGTCCACTGGGCAGAGAGGGTGAAGACGACCAGAGACTGGATACTGGACGCAAACGGTGGTGATCCCTCATTTTTCGCCAAGGTTTGAGGAGATGGGGCGAGTGAGACTGCAGAACCGTCTTGTGTGAACACTCTTCAATTTGCGAAGCGAGTAAAGGCTACAGAAAATATGGGTAGCCTGAGATGTTCGAAGGCCCATAGCCAGGGCGATCAGAAATACTGTCTTGTGAAGGAGGTCCGTGGGAGAGGGATCGCCCATGTAATGGGAGGAGCAGAGAAAATCAAGAGTCTGTTGGATCGACCATGAAGGCTCTTCTCTTTTCTCGCCTGGGGGGAGATTGATGGTATAATAACCCTCTCTTGGCCAGCTGGAGGGACCCATTGGTCCAGCGCGATGCCACAGCCGTGGAATAATGGGTCGGCTAAGGCTGCGACATACCCTGATATCGTCGCAGTAGATCGCCCCAAGTCGTGTGCTAGACCCAAAATTCGATCACTGCCGTGTTGTGGAGGATCGATGGGCACGCAGCATATCCTCAGCTACTCGTGTGGAGAAGCATTCGATATACAGGGTGTGGAGAAACTTCACGCATGTAGCTGCAGGGATATTTCTAGTCGTCTTAGGAGTGGGTCCTCCAGGCACCTCCCTAGGACGAGCGGGTTGGGGGCACCACTTGAGGAGGTTTATGATCTCTGTAACTCCTCAGCTACTGACAAACCCTGAGGAGGACTTTCGTATTTGGAGGTGAGAACAGGTAGTTGAAGCCCCACCTGGCGGGTTGAGGTGTTGATTGTATGTAGAAGTCCGCGTGCTATATTGGGCTAATGAAATATATATGGATCCTCGTGTTTCGAAGCCGGATTTTGTAAAACGTTACTCTGACCACCTACGTGATACGGGTAGTCCCCATTAGAAGTTCAAGGCGCCTTAAGCTCGTTGAACAGGCTTTGTGTGAAATATAACAAAGTCTAGGATTGCTTTTAGTATCCTGGTGGTCCAGCGGTTAGCGTTCCCCGGTCACAGTCATGGGCTCGTGGGCCGTGGGTTCGAATCCTGGTGGGTTGAGGTGTTGATTGTATGTAGAAGTCCGCGTGCTATATTGGGCTAATGAAATATATATATATATATATATATATATATATATATATATGCAAGTATATCAATATAGGTGGGCGTGATCCAGGTGTATGCTGATAACCACAAGGAAAAAGAAAACACGAAGTTCCTAAGCGCTTTCGTGTAATTCACATCTTCAGGGAACTTCGTGTTTTCTTTTTCCTTGTAGTTATCAGCATATATATATATATATATATATATATCCACAAATGTCCTATAGTGCCACAAAGGTCATAAGGTCATATAGTGCCACAAATGACCTATAGTGCCATGAATGTCCTGTAGTGCCATAAATGTCAGTGCCACAAATGTCAGTGCCACATGTTCTATGGTGCCACAAAGATCATAAGGTCATATAGTGCCACAAATGTCCTATTGTGCCACAGTGACCTATAGTGCCATGAATGTCCTATAGTGCCACAAATGTTCTATGGTGCCACAAAGGTCCTATGGTGCCACAAAGGTCCTATGGTGCCACAAAGTTTCTATAGTGCCACATATTTCCTACAGTGCCAAGGAAGGATTTCATCAACCAAAGTCTTGAAGGATTAAGGAAAAGACGAGAAACTTTAAAACATTTAATTCATACCAGACAAGTTGTAGCTCTCTCACGCTACCCCTTCATGATGACCTTGAAGAAAGAATGAAAGAATGAAAGAAAGAAAGAAGAAGAAAGAGGAAAGAATGAAGGAGACGAAATAAGAAAGAATGAAGAAGAAAAAGAAAGAAAAAGAAAAGAAATAAGAAAGAAAAAGAAAGAAGAAATAAGAAAGAAAAAGAAAGAAGAAATAAGAAAAAAATAAGAAATAATAAGAAAAAAAGAAAGAAAGAAGAAGAAAAAGCAAGCAAGAAGAAAGAATGAAAAAGTCAATAAATGAGTAAAGAGGAAGAGAAGAGGAAAAAAAGGAGGAGGACGTAAAAGAAAAGTGAAGAGAATAAGAGTAAGATGCTGATAATGATGAAGAAGAAGAAAAAGAAAAGGAATTCAAATAATTAGTGATCAAAGGAAGAAGAAACTCCCTCTCGACGCTGGGAGAAGTGAACAATATATTGACAAGTACAGCTGATCAGGAGTCTCTATACAAACATTCAACTGAAACATGAGAAATATTGTAAATAAAAAAAAGTCGAAATAAAATAATAAATTGTTTCAGAGTAGAGGGTGAAATAGATGGTGATACCAACCATGACGAAGATGATAGATGGATAGAAAGAAAAATATACATGTTAATTGTTAGATATGTATTGGTAGATTGATAATTAAATGAATGGATAGATAGATGGATAGACAGATTAGGAGAAAGAGATTGATAGATAGACAGATTAGGAGAAAGAGATTGATAGATAGACAGATAGATTGACTGAAAGATAGATATATTATTAAATTAGATAGAGAGAAAGATAGATAGATAGATGACAAGCATTAAATAAATTTATTTATATATCACCTGTGGACATTTAATAGAACTCTATGGATAATTTCCTCCCTTACCAACAATTTATATTAATATACATTTGGCTCAGGTCAATTGTCTCGTGACCCTCAGCTCAACAGGTGACGAACAGAAGCCAAGTTACTCCTTATTAATTACAAACTTCTTAACAACATATAATACATCTCTCTTAACATTCATTTAGACACAACAGTAAAAAAAAAAACTATTATTTCATCTTCTTCCTCGTTAATGTGTTTGTGTTTTAAATTCCCACCAAGGTTATTGTCAGAGTTTGTTTTATTTTATACAGTATATAAACACGATACAAACTTCACAATGTAAGTTCAAGAAAATATTAAGGGATATGAGGAGGAGGTAAGCCCTTTAGCGTAGCTGGTGAAGCAAGACCATTTGCTGGCAGGGGGCGAACCTTAGTCTGGAAGATTGGTAGGGGGAGGGAAATGCCTGGCTTAGGTGATGGCTCACACTGGCATTGTTTACGAGTCATGGGGAAGGAGAAGTCGAGGGCTCCTTAATAGATTCCTCTTAGTGGATTTCCCTTAGTGACTCCCCGAGTGAACTCCCTTTAGAGACGTTATTTAAGCATTCAGTGTGAGGTAATAACTTGGATATGCTTGAACATCATTTATATTTACAGTGACGTCATTAGTTGTGTGGCATCATGATATTTATAGCGACGTCAATGATATCTGTACCGTAACGTCGTGGGTTGTACTCAATAATTTGATAAATATAGTGAGGAGTGAAAAAATGCTTCATAATTTCATGTAGAGCAGTCACCAAGGACATAAGTGCACATCTTCAACAAGTTTTCGAAGGATATTGATTTACAGGTATCGTTCCTTTTTCTCGTGGCGTTGGAACCGAAAGCTTTACATTATATAAGTAGAGACGGTCTGGCATGATGGAGGACTCAATCAGCTCGTGGGTTCACAGTCTTACTAACTATAAGGGGGGTTAGAGTTACCATGATACTGTTTGTTCTTAGACCCATAGATTCACCAACACAGGCGCACACCCACACACACACACCCCCACACCCACATTCACACACACACGGATAAAAAACAGTATCGTGTCAACTTTGAGCCTCTCAACTGTAATCTTAACTCATTCTCTCAGGGTAGGTCATACACCCCGGGCTCAACCTGGGGTCCTGGTCTGTCCTATGAGACATTTTGAGGAGTTTAAACAGACCTCAATAATTATGCAATTGTGAAGGAAACTGTGAAGGAAGTGATCAGTCTCCTGGAAAAGATGTCATTCTAACCCACCGTGTGCACTGGTACCAACACTCTCTGGCCCCCAGCTGGGTGTCAACACTATTACATGAAATTATCAAGTTACTGGAAGAGATATCAGTAACAATATTTTTACAAGTAATTATTTTGAGGACAAGCTGAAAGAGATACTAAAGTTGGTTGTGAGACATCATCACAACAATTCCCTTACTTGTGATCATAACATTCAGTATTTACAGTAATGTGTTTTCAGTGAGGTACAATTGTACTTCATAAGTCTTCCTTGGGGTTGATCTATGTGTACTTCGGATGTACTCAAAAAAGTCTTTCTCTGCTAGATGTGGTTGACCTCCGTGGGCAACGTGTGTGTTAGTCTGTGCTTAGAAAGGTCGTGACTTCTGGGGGGGTGTCATGTCATCTACAGTTAATGGCCCTGAGGAACCAACTATGATGTCAGCAGAGGAACCGAGAAGTGTGTGTGGGGAGGGGTACCTTGTGTGTGGTGGCAAGGGGATCATGTTGTATGGCGCCCAGTATGTTTGGCGCCTGGTGTGTACGTGGGGGGAGGAGGGGGGGAGGTTGTCTTTGTATGGCACCTGGTGTGTGTGGAGGGGGGGTTGTGCTTGTTTGGTGCCTGGAGTGTGTGTGGCAGTTCTCGTGGACGTGTTTTTGTGTTTATCTGGAAACTCTTTCCTCTCTCAAAATGATAAGAAGTACAAAGACGAACGAACGAACGAACGAACGAACGAACGAACGAGAGAGAGAGAGAGAGAGACCAGAAATATGAACAGAATGTAAGGAAAGGGAAGACACTGGTAATGAACTGTATTTAACAAAGGCTATTGAAAATAAAGAACTATATCAAGATGATAAACTTTCACTGAGAGACATAAAACGATATGTATAAAGTTGTGTATATACTTGTAAGTCTTCAGTATAATCAGGACAAAACATCCTGTTGCCTCCCTTTTTCTTGCAAGATTATGCTATGTACACATATACATACATATACATACATACATACACACATGCACACACACACATAATTCACACACATGTGCACAGTACATTGTATTTTACTTCTCTATCTCTCTTGATTCTTCCCCTCTTTCTATCTTGTCTCAGTTTTCTCCCCTTACCCCCACAAAGCTAAGACGACGACACAAGACAATCACAGTAGCATAACTCACAAAGCGACTGTAGTAACACGAACCTGGGATAAGAATATCAAATGACTGACACTTATGTACACAGTCTAGGTCATACATGGACAGCTGACCCGCTCACTCCTGGCTGATGACCACTCAGCCCTCACATAACACTATTATTGTATGAAAGTTGATTAATATACAGGATGACGAAACCACCAGCTGGTGATGAGCAACACAAGAATATTATGGAGGGTTGAATACCTTATCTGCTTCACACATCAACACTTGAATTAAATGATCCATATATTGTTAATTGTACAGTACTTTCATGTCGTGCACTTGAGAACATGTTGTTTACCTTGGTATAGCGTGGTGAGATAAAATGACTAATACTCTTCTCCTCGATAAACAAATCTCTTATTTTAGGATTAACGATTTGCATTAGAGATAAAATCCTTGATGTTACTGTCAGTCAACACGAATTTATATTTACCCCTAAAATAACTCCCCTTGTACCTGCCTCCCATTGTTTTAAATAATAGATTCTTTTTCTTCTTAAATATGACGATGTTTTCTTTATAATATACTATTTACTGTATAGATACAACACCAAATGACACGAGGAAGCATAAATTGTTTTTTTTTTCACTTATAGTATTCCTTCTTTGCGTATATCTGCCTTTGTCTGTTTGTCTGCCACGGTCTACTACGAAGCCCAAGAGAAGAGAGCACTGAAAGATACGAGTCCCACAAGAAGCAACTTGAACGAGTCTCTACAGTAAGAGGGAGTCGAGCCACTACACCACCGTGGCCACACTCTTGCCCACACAAGGAACAGGCATTGGAAATTAAAAGCATTCTGGACCGATGTACAACGCTTTTGCGTCGGTCAAGACCGATAAAACACTCTCTCGAAGGTCTGTCTGGATTGATATACAACACTTGAGATGGTCTACACCAATTGAGAACACTCGTGAGTCAGATTGCAGAGGTGTGCAACATTCTTGGGTCGGTCTGGACCTATATACAACAATTGCGACGACCTGGACCAATATAAAACACTTATGTGCCGGTCTCGACCGATATTCAATACTTGCAATAGTTTGGACCAATATGTAACAGTCTTCGCTCGGTCTTGATCGACATCCCAACACGATTGAAGAACGTCTGGACCGTTACTCAACACTTGCGACAGATCTAGACCAACAAAAACACTCTTGGGTTGGTCCAAACTGATATAAAACACTCGTGTTTCGGTCATGACCAATATACAACAGTTGTGATTCGGTCTGGACCGATTTTCAATACTTGAGGTTCAGTCTCAAACGATATACAACACTTTCGTGGGTCTCCGGAGGGGCCTTATTAACGGAAGAACCCAGAACTCGGCTGCTGATGGAAGTGACGGCATCCTTCTTCGGTCTCACACAGGCCGATGACGAAGATTCTTCTGCCGTCTAAGTGTCAGGGGCGTCGTCGTCTGCTCACGAGGACTTTGGCTGTAAACACAAAGAAATCAGAACACTCACCACCAAATTTGCACGAGATGTTAAAAATTGGAAAATTATTTACAAGCAGATAAATACTACACGTTGTACCAGAAACTAACATACACCTGTAATAGCTGGAGGTGCACCCTGAGGCATGGGGTGGCACTAAGAGCAGGTCACTTACCACAGGAGGTACATGGAGATGACAACGAACACGACGAAGGCGCTGCCAACGGCCACCATGGCAAACATCCACACGTTGATATCTTCTGCTGATGGAAGCCGCAAGGAAAGCAAAAATATATATTAAAACCCAAAGACGTTAAAATACGATCCAGTTGCATCTTAAAGAGACTGAGGCTACATTAGTTACTCAAACCTGTTACCGAGAGACAGGGAAATATATAAACAATCTAAAGAGCAATAACTCCTTGGGTCCAGATTCTCACAAGTTTATAAATTAAATATTCCTCGTAACTGGAGACACAAAATCCAATTGACTTAAGACGCTTAGTTAGATAAACTTTCAACTAGCAAAAATTATGAAGTAAAATCAAAGTACAGAAATCTTCATGAACTTCGATCCAAGCTGGTCAGGAAATTTGATCTCACTAAGGGATTATTGTCACCTAACCAAACTTATGGAGAGATTCACTTAGCATTGTGTTTCCTTTGTACGAGTATGAGATAATCATATACGTATCAGGTCAATACATAAATGACTTGGTTAAGAAGGTTTTTGAGATATATTATCTTATCTAGGTTAAGGGAACATCTTTATGACAATGTACACATAGGAATATATTCTTACTTCAGTGAATTGTAATTTTGTACTTCTCTTATTTACATTGATGTTCTTAATAATTACATTACTAAGAGATAGAGGCTACACTCTCACACTAGCAGGTACTTGGTGTCAGACACTCACCTGGCAGGTACTTGGCCCCAGAGAGAGGTTGGGGCAGGGGGAAGGTGAGGTTGCGGGCAGGGATGCAGCTGGTGAGACGGAACCGCTGTTTCTCCGAGTACAGCGGCCGCAGACCCGGACGGCAGACACAAGCACCGACGGCAGAGCAGAGCGACCCCCGCACCGAGCACTCTGGTACACACGGCCTGGGTTCCCCCTCACAACCACCTGCCGATACAGAAGTTATGAGTGACGTTTCTTTGCCTGTCTGTCTGTCTATCATTTTCGTCGTCTGTTTACCATCTCTGAGTCTATTTTTGTATCAATAAAAATAACTATCATCTATCTATCTGACTTCAAATCTTTGTCTAACTGCTTGTCAACACCAGTCATCAGGAGACAGTCACACATGGGACTCACCCGTCACCAGCAGACCGTCACTACGGACACACTGGATGGTGTCGTTGTGGACCTCCCAGCTGAAGTTGAAACAAGGACCTGCCAGACACGGCCTCGTCTCCCACAGCGGCCCAGGGCACGAATTCCTTCCTTCCCTTCCCTCAGTCGACCCCTCCGTCAACACCGCCCGTGACCTCGCCTGAGTCCCGCCTGGAAAAAAAAATTATATTCTTACTCATAGTCAAGGGTGATTATTTTTCACTGGTATAGCCTGGGTAAAATTAACTACAACTTAAATGAAGGTTGTAATAGTCTCAGTATGTAATTAAACATTAGATCTGAAGTACTTTGAGGAAAATGAGTTAAAAAGTCTCGGTAAAAGATTTGTATGAATTACTCGACAAGTAATCTGAAATGAAATGAGACCATCTAGGAAAAAAAATGTAAGTAAAATTCAGAGTAAACTGTCCCTTGGATTTCATAATGAGTTCCTTTAGCTTTAGTACCCCCAGGAAAAGAGAGTCTAGGTCAAGGAGACCCTTGGGTTAAATGGGGGGTGAGATTGTACCTTGGTGGCCTCTGGAACAGTCTCGGTGACAGTGTGACCAGGAGGCCCACTCTGTCAGCTCACAGTCGCCCTCACACGGCACGTAACACCCATCCTGCCAGGTGAGAGAAGAACGGGTCACTAAGGAAACTATTCTCTATGTCATACTGTATAACACTGTTTCCTACACGTGGTAACCCGGAGCATTTGTTGAAATCTTTTATTTTTCTTAAAATATGTCTCTAAACTCTTACTGTATAGGGAATTATTTTCTATCTTTACAACACAAACGTGTTGACATTGATGAAGGAAAAAAAAATTCTGAAGCATTAATTATGATAAACAAACAGTTTTTGCTTCACACAAACAGTTTTCAGTTTAGCTTCTAAAAATTGTTCATTTTTAAGTATTCTAATCGTAAAGAAAGTCAGATTAATTCAACATTCCGGTAGTGTAGCCCCAAAGGCGCTGAATAACTTGTAAAGCTAACCAAATAAATATTTGGGTACAGAAACTACAATACGAGTGAAACTAAGTTGTTACTCATTCCTACACATTCATTTTTCCCGATAGACTTAACCAACATACGACATGACTGTTACAATGTGCTTCATGACAAGTTGCTGCTGGTGTTGCGTTCGTTCCCATGATAATTTCCTCCTAGTAGACTCACCCTGGTGTTGAGGTCAAGGGCTCTGGCTAAGTAGGGCCAGGTGTGGCCTCCGACGTGGACGAGTGCCAGACATAGATGAGGGTCGACGGTCTGTCCGCCAGGACCAACACACGACACTTTCCTCTCCACGAACCCATGGCCGCAGCTCCCACCCTGAGAGAGTGATGGCGTTTTACACCACAGTACAGATTATATTTCAAATGCACACTCTCTTCTGTATATCACGTACAGTATTAATTGAAATTGTTGATGTGATATGCAATACAGTGTATTTGCTTAATTTATAGAATTCCGTATACTGTACGTGTTTACCTGGAACACTGAGTTTCAGGTGTTAACGGCTATGTGACCAGCTGTCTACCTACTTGGAGGTGGTACTGTGACCTACCTGTAGATGACACTGAGACCAAGGGCCTCGCTCCCAGGTGTAGCAGGGAATGGCTGGGCATGGACGCGTCTGCTGCAGTAGGGCGGGGCACGGGCGTCCACACTCACTTGGATTCACCGACAGAAATCGACGTCTGGTCATCTCTCCAGCTGTTAGGGAAAAACTTTATTCAGTTGGCTGGTTTAGAGAGAATCAATCAATCTCTCTCTCTCTCTCTCTCTCTCTCTCTCTCTCTCTCTCTCTCGTATTCTATCCCTGCTTTCTCACAGTCTGAGATGATGGAGTCAAAGGTCACTGGTGACCGTAAAAAATTCCTGTTAATTTCTGACACCATACATCATTTTAAACCTTGGAACCTGTAGATTAAGAAAACATATGGTGTAATTTTTTTTTTTATGGGATTTAAGGTCGTATGTGTCCACAGAAGTAAGCGAGGAAAAAAAATCGCTCGAGCGGCATGACGCACCGAGTGTCTATGGTGATAAAAGATGAAATACTACCATTTGTGTTTTAAAATTAATTTCATTACATAAAATATCAAAATCATAAAGATTACAAAAGAACAAAACACCATGAGCTCTCTACAGCTATTGTCAGCCGTTAATATGCTGATGTACAGAAGCTGCACAATGTTATTGCTGATTGCAATCCACTTTGTCAGGACTATAATGCTCTTTTAAACTTGGTAACTGGAGCTGTAATGCCAGAAAATGTCAAGCATGACATTCTATGTGCATATGAAGTTGGAAGACAAAGTTATGAAAATTTTGTCAATCAACGCATTGTTGGTCCAGTAAGCATCTGGGAAAAGATGTTGAAGGTTAATTTTCTGTCATGGAAAGTAGCAAACAAGACTTCAACCATCAAATTACCTTCACAAGTTATAGAACTTAAGGAAGACAGATCTTTGTTTGGTAGACTGCTAATAATTGTAAGATCCCGTGATGAAATCAATCTACAAGAGATTGGCGAATTCAAATGTCTGCCAAGATCTCTCTTCTGCCCAGATGGGTCTGCCCTTGTTTGCCAAGACAAAAGCAAGCTCATGGGTCTCCTTGAAGCAGCTCCAAACAGTGAGGAGTCTACTGATGTTCAAAGCATAGTAGATCCACAAAAAGAACTATGTCATAAGACTCTCATCATCGATGGCATGGCATTAGTTCACGAACTGTCAACTTTGTCTATAAAAAAAGTGCAGAGTTTGCAGACCATTTCATCAAAACATTATCAGCTAGGGCAAAAAGTTATGCTGCTTTGCACTTTGGTCTTATGACGTAGGCCACTCGCTAAAACAAAAAGCAAGAAACCGACGCTATGGCAAGGAAGCAAATACATACAGCTATGAAATCACAGATTCAACACAGATTAAAGTCTCACTCAAGAAGTTACTCAGCAACAAGCCAAAATCATCATTGACTAACTATCTAGGAAACAAAGCATTGCTTCTGTTCCACTCAAACAAAACCTCTTTTGTGCCATCAACAAAGAACGGTGTTCAGTCAAATGGTGAAAATATTGAACAATTGAAAAGCAACCATGAGGAAGCAGATGCTCTGCTCATCATTCATGCCATAGTATATGCATCACAGAAAGGCAGCACTGTGTATATCATATCACCAGACACTGGTGTGTTTGTTCTAGACATATCAAAGCAGCCTCGACTTGGAGAAAATGCAAGTATTATAACAGGAACTGGTGAGAGACGACACAATGTTTCTTTCAAATCCATATATGATGCTATTGGGCCAGACATTGCAGAGAGCCTGCCAGGTTTCCATGCCTTCACAGGATCTGACTGCACAGGAAAATTTGCGGGCAAAGGAAAGAAAATATATTGGAACACTTAGATGAAATCTAACACACAGGTCCTAAATGCAATCAAGATGCTCATTAGACTAAATGCCCCTCCTGCAGACATGTATATTGGTCTAAATGAATTTGTATGTCAGCTCTACTGTCCACGAATGACTTTCACTGAACTGTCAAAACTTAGATGGCACCTCTTCAAGAAAACGCAAGCAGAGACTGAAAAACTACCACCGACTGCAGCAACTCTTAAAGCATCATATATTGAGAGCAAGGTTTCAAGCCCTTCTGAGGTCAGGTGATGCAGACCGTGAAATGCTTTCACCATTGGAGCATTGCTGGAAGACTGAAAATTACCGTTTTATACCAGTAATATCAGACCTGCCACCAGCTCCAGAGGCTATCACAGAGCTTGTTCAGTGTGGATGTGGCGTCAGCAAATGTGGATCATTGCCATGTTCATGCAGAAAGAATAACATGGCATCCACCGAGATGTGTAACTGTCAAGCAGATGAGAAATGCCTAAACAAGGTGAAGGAATCTGTGCTTTACACAGAAGAGTCTGATCACGAAGACTGAAGCAATGTCGTAAATAATAGCTTGTGACTTGCATACATATGCTATATAATACTATAAACAAATAATAAATATAAAATGGATGTTCTAAGCTTTTCAGATAATTGCATTATGTATATGTTTAATTTCTAGTATTTGTCTTAAGCAAACATTGTTACTAATTGCATTCGCTTCTTTGCCAGAGACAGATGGCATATAGTATATGAGCAGCCATGTTTGTAACACACTTAAGATATTATAACAGCATCCATAATATATTATGTTAAATTGTGATCATATAATACTACATTTTCATAGGTTATTAGTCATGTTTTAAGTTACTTTGGACTTAATGGTAATACGTTTGTGGTTGATTATGCCGCATTTTGATAAAATTTCTTTGATGGCATAAAATTTACAATAAACTGTTCAGAAAAAAAATAGACCATAGTTATTCTTAATGTACATGTTATGAGGATTAATATGATGTGTGGTGTCAAAAATTAACAAGACTTTTTTACGGGATTACAGAAGCGACTACACTAAGGGTGAGGTGTAGTGATGTGATATAGGGGAATGGGCAGACAGACACAACGTCGTACAGTTCTCGCCACAGACAGACACACAGACAGACACACAGACAGAGACACAAGGACGTACGGTTCTCGCCACAGGAGCACTTGGAGTCGTCCCAGGTGGTCCAAGGCGTCACCTCACAGTCAATAGGACAGTCGACGTAACACCAAGTCTCTACTGGCGACGGTCGAGACTCACGCCGGCACATCCTGCAGGAGGTAAACCACGTCAGTGTTAGGGTAAACTATGGGTAAACCGTGTCAGTGTACAATATGGGTAAACCGTGTCAGTATCAGGATAAACTAGGTATAAACTGTGTCAGTTCAGTGTGAGGGTAAACCAGCACAGTGTGAGGATAAACCAGCAGTGTGAGGATAAACCAGCACAGTGTGAGGATAAACCAGCACAGTGTGAGGATAAACTAAATGAGGTTGAAAGATGTCAATGCTGTCTGTTACAGTACTGAAGGTAAAGTGAAAACTATCATCACATATCATAATGGGTTAAGAGTTGTTCTCATTACTCTTGTGGCCATTAACAGCCAGCAGCCATCTAGTTACAGTTTGAAGATAGAGAGTTAAAATTTGGTATAGAGATGTACATGCACCCCATAAGTGTCGCAATAATGGACTTTTAAGGGTTGGTTCTACAGGAGCTGACCTCCACTCCCAAAAGTGGAGCCTCCTTATTAAAAAATATCTGAAGTCGGGTGCGATCGGCCCCTGCAGGATCAACCCCACTAAAACTAATACTAATGCTAATATGATGGAGATAAAAGTATAGTGGATGTAGTGTAGCTGATAATGTTGCCATGGATATAGACTACGAGTTGCCACGTAAAAACTATCCCGGGCTCGTTTCCTCCACCAGTTATTATTATTGTAAACAAAGAAATATATGTAACCCAAGGCTAACCAGTCTGGCACGGCCACCCCGCCAGACCTGACACAGGTAACTGGTCGGTTGCGGACACCCTCGCCGCAGGAGGAGTGGCCAAGAGGGACGCAAGAGGTCCAGTTGGCCACCTGCCAGGAGTATCGCCAGCAGGAGACGTCCTTAACGCAAGGTTCTTCCTCTGTCAGGGTCGGACAGGTGGCCACATTCCCCACAGGTCGACGCACCACTTCACGAATCCTCCTCCGGTGGCTGTGTTCTGGACAGTCCTGAAACATAGATGGTGTGAGCATCTTGTTTTATCAGGGGGAGGGAGAAAAGAATTTCCTCTTCAACCTTGTTCTTATTACCTTTCCTTTTCATTTTTTTTCATTTTCATTCTAATTTTCCTAATTATATGCTCATCTTCCTCCCCTCATTTTCCTTCTTCATTCTCCTTCATATGTCTACCCCCCCTCCATGTGACTCACCTGAGGGCAAGGTGACCACGAGGACCACATTGACACCACACACTCGCCGGGGCAGGAGACATGGCAGATCTGGTGTGTGAAAGGCTTCACTGAGGAATCACACTCCACCTGCATCACCTCCTCTTGTAGTCCTGTCGGCGCCTCCCTCAAACACCTGCAGAATTGTGGATTACAGGTCGTGAGGAGACAGGCGTTGGTTCCTCCTGCCTTTGGATTATTGAAATCTACAGTTTTAAGGTCTGATGTAGTATTGGACTATGTATACCCTTTAATACACAAATTAAATATTCCGTTTTTTTTTTATTAATTGAATATAATGTAACCTGTTTCTTAACTCTTTATGGAAGTATACAAGTAGTAATGAAGAAACAATGTGATCTAACCTGACATTTCTGGTTTGAGTGCCAGAGCCACAGTCCTTCTTGGCGGTGATGTGGCACTCTGACCACCCCCCTGGCACCCACTCAGCGAGGCATGAGCCCCAGCACGCCCGACCCTGGGTGGTCTCAGGACATGGGCGTCCTCCCCACAGGCTAGGCTCTAGGATCTGAAGAAGGCATGTATGTTAATTGAGAGAGAGAGGTTGTATCATGGTTCCATTGTACTTCACCTTTCCATAGTTTTAACAGCGTTCACCTCAACTTAAGGCAGTATAAAGGCGAACCATTGCTTCATTGTATACCTCTCTGGTTCTGTGTTGGAGTCCGGCGCCACAGGAAGCATTACAGGAGCTCCATGTTCCCCAGGGTCCCACACGGCAGTCAGAGGGGCACTCGACCATGCAAGGTTCTTCCTCTACCCCGCCGTGACCACACGACCTGCACAATTGGACACATTATTGGACGAGAAAAAGATTTATATCTAGATCAACTCCTGGTACCCTTATGTATGATTCCTCACTGACAGACAATACAGTGAATTTATGTGCCCCCGTAATGTATTGAATTTATGGTTTATGAATTTATTTTGACAGGTAAGAGAGAGAATTAACGATTGTTCTCTGACAGGCAGTTCAAAGAATTATGAACCACTTCTGACAACTGATACAGTAAAAAGAATTATCATATTAGTTTTGAGTAACATTTCAGAAACCAAAGAATTGAGAGTATAGGAAGGTAAGGGATTAGCGAGGGTAGGGTATGGTAGGGTAGGGTAGGGGATAGGAGGAGGAAAAGGAAGGTACGGTTGTGGAAGGTAGAAATGAGGGAGAGGATGGTAGAGAAAGGTATAAATGAGGAGATAAGGATTGAGGAAGAGTAGGACAGAAGTTAGAGGTGATGAATAATAAGGGAGTAAGGGTAGATGAAGAAATGTTGGTCACTGGGGGCCTCACTCACCTGGGGTGGGCCAGAACACCATCGTCTCTGGTACACAAGAGCGCCCGGTACCTCCTCCCCACCCCACACAGCCCTGCTTCCTCTCCTGGTGCTGCGCTCGCGCCGCCACTTACTCCCACGCCACCCACGCCCACGCCCCCACTCTGCTCATGCTCGACACCCACGCCTACCAGGCAAGAGGACCAGGAGCCAGCAGGTGTTGAATAGAAGTTGTGGCAAGGACACACCTCACTCTCCCTCAGGCTGATGTTGTGACATCTCGGGTTTGTTGTGCTGCTGTCTGTGTCAGGAGAGTTTGGGAAGGGAGGGATAACTCAAGGTTTGCATAGATGAAGTTATCTTGAGAGTGATGATATTAGTTTACACAGATGACATCCTGAAGTCAATATTCCGAAGTTACATAGGTGACACTGTTGAAAAATATCTATGTAAATATGGAAGTAAATGCATTTTCACCTAATTTCCCTCCCATTATATATACTGTATATATAATTTCATGTCAAGTCATACAGTCATCACCATTAACTCAACATGGCTACTCCTGCTGCTGACTCACAACTGTTAGCTGTTAGTACTATATCACAGCACGAGAGAATATTCCACAAGATTAGCTAATAACAGCTCACAATACCTTCTCCTCTTGTAAACTTTCTTATAGTGTTTTCTTTGTAGGCTCTAAATTAGGGTAGGTTAAACTCTAGGATCACACCAGCACAGTCAAATGTTTGACCACGTCACAGCGCCGGCCTCCTCCTCTCCATCTGTATGAGTCAGTTTGTTAGCGAGTCATTCTGTCAGTCGGTCAGTCAGGTACCCAGTCAGTGAGGATTAGTTTTCAGAACACTGACTGATACCTTCCTGATGCATTATCCGCCCCACACAGGTGATGGTCAGTGACGACCTACCTAAGAGTTGGCGGGTCCTGGAGGAGGTGTGGCCGCAGGGTGGATGGGTGGGGCACACCGTCCAGGCACTCCAGGTTGAGGTCACACACGCCTCTCTGCACGACACCTGGCACTCCACGCTGCTCTCTGGCACTATGTGGTCCCCCAGCAGGCAATGTGTGGGCTCCACCACCGCGCCCCCAGCGTCGACACACTCTACACCTGCAGCAGGAGGAGTAGAGGAGTAGGGCAGGGTGACAGTTGTGGCTGGATTGTTTAGTGAGGACGTAATGTTGTCTTGTTATGTATGACAAAATGCATGATTGTTTTAGCTGTGTTTTATTTTGTCCATGAATTTCGGATTTGGATCTTAAGTTTTCGACTAACTTTTTTTTATAATTTAACATTACATTTTAATTTTCCATCATAATATTATATTTCAATCGTAATTTTTCGAATCATACCTTGATATTTAACTTAAACAGTGGAATCAATCTGGTGACCTCAAGGTTCAATAAAAGTATCTATTGATCACATACATATTCAGGTGTTTTCTTGGCTACCTATCATACTCCTCAAAACATGCACACTCTCTCGCACCATAACAACACCGCCATCACTACCAATTCTTTGTACTTGGCGTCTCCTTCACCTCGTAATGATACACTAGATAAACTACTACTGCTTGCTATGGCGCTATCTAATGGTACAGTACGACCAAGTATTACTTAAGCTACAGAGGCACTACACAACGTCAGCATCAAGACACACGTACGTCTAACCCTGAAGCCAATGCCACATTCGACGTCGTCAGCGAGGGTGCAGGAGGACCAGGGCCCCGACCGCCAGAGGTGGGAGGTACAAGCGACAGGCGCATGGGCACAACCCCGCTCCTCCTCTAACCCTGGGCAGGCGTCGCCACCCTCACTCGGCTCCACCAGTACCCGACGCCACCGACGCTGAGCCGACGACACCAACACACCGTCTGTCAGGAGAGAGAAAGAGGAGGAAGGAAGGTTAGAACTCGTGTTAGTCATTACAGGCAGTATACCTGACCCTTGGATGGCATTATATCTCCAGGTGCACTTCAGTTCACCGGTTCGAATATATCCATAACCCCTTAAAGGAAGCAAGGGAAACTGACCTACAGGGTAGAAGACACTTACCCATGGGGCAAGGGTCAGGGGCGAGGCAGGGGGACCATTCGCTCCAGGAGGTGACGGTGCAGGCGGTGCCACACGACACCTCGCACTGACGCTCCAGCTCAGGTCGACTCAGCCCACCACACCTGAGGGAGGAGGAGGCAGGTAGAAACACCTTCCCCACACCTAAGACTCTCGTACACACACACATGCACACTGATGTAATTATTATTATTGTTAGTATTAGTATTATTGTTATTAGTAATATTATTATAACTATTGTTGTTACTAATACTATTATCTTTGTTATCACTAAATTTATTATTGTTACGAATATTAATATTATTATGACTACCACCACTACCATACCCTGATACTCACTTGTAGGTAGCGAGGGTGTTGTTGTGGTGGTCGCGGCAGTTAAGTTGTCTCGTCTGTCTGCCAGGGCCACAGGCGGCTCGTGCAGGGAGGGCACACTCCCCCCAGGGCCCCGCCACCCAGGCAGCGCCCCCACAAGGCTCTACACGACACGTCTTCACCTGCGTCAGCTCGTCAGGAGGCGGACATGTTAGTCCTCCTGAAGGTGTTGAAATGATGTTAGATTCTCTTGTTTCCCCTTCTGTTCTCTATCCACACTCTCTCAGCCTGCCTCACCTTTACTCACACTTACCACCCTCACTCACAATTCACTCACTTAACACTTCACTCGCATTTACTGCATCCTCACTCACCGTAACTCACCCCCTTTCCCCACTCACACTTCACTTACCCTCACTCACACTTACTCACCCTTTCTGCATCTTCACTCATCCTCACTGACCTAGATCCTCTTTACTCACACTTCACTCATCCTCCCCTACACCGACTGACCCGTTAGGTTAGGTTGGATCAAGCTTATATGTTAGGAGGTCTACTTGTGTTAGGTTAGGTTAGGTTAGGTTAGGTGAAGTGAAATAAGGAAGAGTTGGGACACTTTCACCACCTTGCCCGACCAGCCATCATTACCTGGTCCAGGTGGCGCGACGATGGTGGTGTTCCTCTCCGTGTAGCCGACGTGTAGCTGACTGGCACAGGGCCTCGTGCAGGGGGACCACCGCGACCACTCCCCTACCACACAGTCGAAGGAACAGGGCACGTGGCACTCTTGCTTCTGGGGTGCCACGCCAAGCTCTTGTTCACACTCCTCCCAGGGTGCCGGTGCCTGTGTGGGGTAATGTTTTAATTGGCTCGTGCACCTACTTCTAATTACCAGCATAATAATTAATGATGATAATGATGATAATAATAATAATGATAATAATAATGGTCTCAGGTACACAACAAATCGACCAGTGGTGGGCGCGGGAACACAAATTACCGCCACAAGCAATTATAACAAATTTTGAACATCATTGGTTATTGCTATTAGTTTGGTAATTTACTGACAAATGAGTAACGTTAACAATTAGTTTGGTTATAATATACACTATTTTATAAAGCCTGTGTGTTTTGATTGGTTTTGGCGGGTAGTAAATGTGTGGAATATCCGCTTTATTTTGAGATTTTTATGTTTATTATAAATTGTCAGTGAAACCTTTTGACTAATCTCAAATTTGTCTTGATTTATCTTGTTTTGGTCAGGTCCTTCTTACCCCGAGTAAAAATAAGTTTTAAAGGTCAAATTTATCTTTCCTTAACCACTGTTATTATCCCTAGTCGATTGTTTTCGTGAAAGTAAAAAAAAAAAAAATTGCTGTAGTAGACAGGATGAGCAGACAGAGGACTTACGCCGGCACTGTCGATGCAGGAGGCGTTACGTGTGTGGTGTCCGGGGCCGCAGGAGTGCGAGGGGCTGGTGAGGACACACGGTGACCACCCTCCCAGCACCCATTGGTGGCACTGTGCCTCGTGACACTCACTCTGTTCCTCCAGCGGTGGACACTCAGATCCTCCCACGCTGGGCGTCACCATCACCTGTCGACGACGACGACGGAACCCTGTGGAGGAGGGGGAGGAGGTGAGGTACTGTAGTGTGGTGGTGGAGGTGGTGGTGAGGTAGTGTTGTGTGGTGGTGAGGTAGTGTGTGTGCGAGGGACTTTGGCAGAATAAAGGTCACCTAAATAAGGTCCCGCAGGAGTTAATTTAAGAGACTTGCTCAAGTGAACTTAGTTGTGTTGAGGATATTTCTGTCTGTGTGTGTGTGTGTGTGTGTGTGTGTGTGTCTGTCTGTCTGTCTGTCTGTGTGTTGTCTGTCTGTCTGTCTGTCTGTGTGTGTGTGTGTGTGTGCGTCCCGCTAATATGACAGCAGTAATACTCGTACACTGCCTGGGTTCACCATATGGAATGTCTCGACAAACACAACTCTAATTTGTCTTGAGAAATGCAACTTTCACAGATGAGGTTTTGGGTTAGCAAAGGTTCCTAAGTTCAATTTTCTCCCCGAGTCTTGTAGGCGCTTAAGAATTCAAGAAGATGGATAAGCAGAGGTTCGTAGGTTTGATTTTTTCTCTAAGCGGCGCGCAAAAAAAAAAAAAAAACCTACCATCTTTTAAGCGTTGGAACCACTGTATAGTTGACAATGTTACAGCAACTCTCTCAAGTGACGTAACACAATAGTGGATAGATTCACAGCAACACACAACCTAAACCTGATATTTCATTCCAGAATAAATGTACACTGCAGGGTTGTGTCTCTACAATCACCACGTATACAAAGCCACTCGGGAAATCTCTGTAAAATGCAGGTAAAGCTGAGGTGCATGTGTGCAATATTTAGCCCAGCAGCAGGTGTACACATTTCCTGGGTTGGGCTGACCTCTTTCTCTGGACACAGTGTATACCTGCAGTGTTTGTTGTAAGGGTGAGGAATGGAAAGAATCCCAGTCCTTATAAACCTGACTCTTGCTAGGCCCCAACCTCACTTAACCCTGCTATTAGTTATAGGGGACAGTCCCAATAGGACCCGAACTGGATAGTTAAGTGAGATTAGTTTAGGTTGGAACTCAGTAGGAAAGAAGGCCTATTATGACTGCGACTCGTGCGCAATGATTAGGTTTTTAATATTTTCAATTTAATTTAGTATATGAAGGCTACTGGAGTATACAGCTGGGGTAGCAGGAGGAGGAAAGGGGTACAATGGTAGATTCACCTGGGGTGGCAGGGGGCGGCGAGGCGGTACAGTCTGTAGGGGTACACACGCCCCAAGCTGACCAAGGGCCCACGACACAGTCCCGCTCACACCCGACCTCACACCTGTGAAAACATTTAATGTAAACACACTAAAACACTTGTTAACATATTCATTGATTATGTCAACAACATCTAAAGACGTTTTACAAACAATTAAATAAAAATGTAACATTTAATGTATAATGAAGTGGTATACAAATATATTAACAATCGTGTCACAAAAGTATAAGCGACAGATCCACACAATAGACTTGTAAATACAATCATCAGCAAAACATAAATACATTTTGTCAAACATGAGTGAGTGGACGCTTTAATTGACTATTACCTGCCTTTCCCTCACGTACAAAAAATATTCATTAGTTAGGTAAGAAAAGACAAGATTTGAGCTAATTATACGCTGCCTAAATTACAGTGCGTTGAGAATATAACATAGTTTCGCCTTCCCTAATGTCAGAGTAAAAAAAAATGGTGTTTTTTTCAGTGACTAACTAAAATTCCATTTGTATGAGACTGATTCCAAGGGAGAGGGAGAAAGAGAGAGGCAAAGGGAGAGAGAAAGCGCCGGGGGTTATAAATAGGAAAGGAACGGTCAGGGTCCAACCGATATCTAACCAATTATTTGCCAAAAGGTCGATAAGCAGAGAGCGGCCATAAAGAACAGTGTCCCCTCTAAGAGGTCCAGTTTTCTCTCACAGCTCAATGGTCCTTTATGGACGGCGGACGATGACCTGAGCCTCTCTCTCTCTCTCTCTCTCTCTCTCTCCCAGCATCGAATGGCTTCTTGGACGAATCCCGACACTTGATCGGTGTTCGGCATCGAAAGGGGGTCGTAGGTCCCACTTACGACATGGTTTATCGTCGATAGGGAGCCGATATCGTGCAGAGAAGTTAGATTGCCGCGCCTTAAATCAGAGTCACGGCCGCATAGCGGATACGACCAGGTCGTCAGAGGGAATGAGACGATATATATATATATATATATATATATATATATATATATATATATATATATATATATATATATATATATATATATATATATATAACGAAGAGGAGAACCAAGGAAAACACAAACATCTTGACTTAGTTGGGGGTTTTTAATCACAAACGTTTCGGAAAAAAATATTTTCCATCATCAGAGTCTAGAGAACAAAAAATTTTAAAAACGTTTTAAAAATACAGGTGATATACAATTAAAACGTAACATTATACGAAAATTTACCTTCCATAAAATTTAAAGAAAGAACACTCCAATTTAAAACCGACAAAAATGACGAGAGACCGAAGTCAAGATGTCTGTGTTTTCCCTGGTTCTCCTCTTCGTTATTAAACTACGCTTTCCACGTAATAAGTCCATTGCTGAAGTTATATATATATATATATATATATAGGCGTGGGATCCAGAAAGGTCGCGGGAGATTTACAACAGCTAGGGAAAAAGGTCGGAGGAGGAAAATGTGGGAGGAATTTCATCTGGCGGCGTCCAGAAACACTTTTACGGAGAGTTATGGAATTCATAACAATGTCAGAGGTTCCCTCTGACCTTTGACCTCGGGTGATGGAGGTGACGGCGGATATTGTAGGGGGATGGAGATGCTGTTTTATATATGTTTATATTATATTATATATCACACACACACACACACACACACACGTGGAATATTCTTTATCAAACTATAAATCTTGGGTTGGTTTTATACCTAAACATTGAAGGTGGAGGTAGATGTGGGAGATAGGTGTGGGAGGAAGGTGCAAGTGTGGCTACCCCCGAAGGACTCCTCAAGCGTCCTCCGCCTCTCACTGCAGCCAAACTCGCTCCTCAATAAGGCCGACCAGCCTCTGTGAACAACCCACGCTAACGAGGGTGCCAAGGTAATAACACGGGATAATGACGCCATACGTTCCGTGTCGGGAAATACATAACTTCAAACGGTATTGTTGTTTGTATAAGGGACGACCAGTCACTCATAAGCAGAAGTAAAGACTGATGTTATGGTCAGGTACCTGTGAGACGAGTCTTAGTTAGTGCCAAGTTACTCTAAGCAGCTGTCAGGTTTAATACATTCTTGTAAGGCTCAGTTATCGGGTCGACCTGAATACCACAACTTGGAACTAGAAGCGAATCTATTATGCTAAAACCGTCTGACTGGACTATTGCTGTGGTCGGCCCTCTGCCAGCGTCCGTCTCTTAACTTTACACAATTTCGACTTCTTTAAAACTATTGGAGCAACTCTGGAGGAGCTTTGTAGAATGGTTCTCTCTCTTAAGACTCTGTCCTGTACCACGGTGTGTCAATCCAGGCAAACGTTAATTAAGGTCTAGTGGGTGTAATATTTTATCGACAAGAATAAAAGTCACGTTACAATGCATACCTGGTAACATGTGATGTGAAGTAGAACTATTTTATCCCTAGTAGTTTGTGATGTAACCAAGTAGATGACGTATATGTAAAGGGAGAGTCACATCCATATTATCTATGACTGTGATACAAGACGTCACCAGCGCTGTGAGTGGGAGGAAGTTCCCTGCCTCTCACTCAAGCTGACTCATGAAAAAAAAAAAATGTAATTCCTACCCCGACCTTTAGTCTGGCTTATCAGCGTGTTTCCCTGAGGTAGTGAGGAGGAGGCGGTAGAGTTTGGCGGCGGGGAGGAAAGGGGGGGGGAAGGTGGTGGCAGGCCAGAGTTGATTATTCAAATGAAGACAATTTTAGTGATGGCAGGAGGTAAAAACAAGTCCTACCTCTCTGACAACATTTTCTTGTGTCATCAAATAGTTAACTTTTTTAGACGCTATATAAGTATACATACATACATACATACATACATACATACATACATACATACATACATACATACGAAATAAATAAGGTGGACAAATACAATACTTTAGGAACAAAAAAATCGCCGTGAAAACTTTGTAAGTTGATACAATGAAGTCAAGAGATACGTATCTGTTCAGTGACATAAACTTCACTAATGAAGTTAGACATTTCACTTAGGAAGAGGAGAAGGAGGAAGAGGAGGAGAAATATGAGATGGAAGAGAAGGAGAAATATGAGATGGATGAGGAGGAGGAGGAGGAGGAGGAGGAGGAAGAAGAAGAAAAATTTGTTACAGTCGACAGTGGTAAACATCTTTAGCTTCAGTTTACTAATGATCAAAGTACAAGTGTAAACAAACGGCGTCATTTTGTTTGTTTGTAATCGCTGTGTTTTGGGCGGGCTGCTGTGTTAGGTGTGTATGTTATAGGAAATACAACTATAAATCTTTCTATCTATCTCTCTATCCACACCTACATATCATTTTATGTATGTATGTATGTATGTATGTATGTATGTATGTATGTATGTATGTATGTATGTATGTATGTATCACGTGCTAAAGGAATAATACCAGGCCAGACCAACACGGAGATAACTCAGCGCATGACACAAAGTTCGGAAATAAATTAACCTTTTTTGTCTTATACTTAAACTCAACAACAGCAACAAAAACAGCAATAACAACAACAGCCTAATTAGACTTACATGTACGAACTGTATTTAATAATCTAAATTTTCTCGATACTTAAAAGAAATAACAAAAGTGTGATAAATCAATGAATAAGAAAGATGAAGAATGAACGAGAGAAAATATATGGAGATGTGATAACCAGATAGGAAGAGAAGTTAAGAGAGAGATTGTGTTTCATGAGAACTTTTGGAGAATTCTGAAACAAAGAGACAAAGTTTGTGTTGGAATATACTGTAAAACTAATGGGGATTTAGCCTGACGATTTCTCTTCTTTTTTGTGGATAGAATTTAGATATGGTGTTTATGATATGAAGAGATTTAGAAAGCTTTTACATCACGCGGAATTAGAGAATTTAATTTAGTGTTACGAGAATTTGTAGAATTAAAATTACTTGAATTACTAGAAATCTCAGAATTTAGGAATTTAATTTAAGCTTCCAGAGATTAGAATTAGAATTTAACTAAGATTATAATTTAACTTATACATAGTAACTTGAGAAAGATCGTAGAATTGAGGAAATTATCTTGTGATGTGAGAGATAGTATGTTAATTTATCTGTCAGTGAATTTATGTATTAGTTTGATCTTAATTTGTGAAGGGAAACAAATTCTTGACCCATAAACATAAGAGTTCATCCATACCTAACCTAACCTAACCAAAAACTAGCATAATTTAACCTAATGTAACCTAACCTAACCAAACCAAACCAAACCTGACCTGACCTGACCTGACCTGACCTGACCTAACCTAACCTATGCCTAATTTTCTGGTAATATTTGACCTAATTTCTAATGATTCCTTTTAAAACTAATGACTTCATACACCCAATTAATTTCCCTTTGACCTCTGACCTCGTGTGACCTGTTGTAAATTGGTTCACCGGGGATTAAATGGTCGACAAGATGAAATTATACTTCACTATAAAGTTGTTTTTTTCCGTCTATGAGTTCTTGTGAGTTAGTTACGTGGAGGCTATGAGTCTTATGAGTAGGTTGTCTTATGAGTAGGTTGTCTAATGAGTTATGAGGAGGCTGAGTCTTATGAATAAGTTGTGACTCCGTGAGTCTTATACGTGAGTTATGAGGCTGCGAGTCTTGAGAGCGGGATAATGGATTATCTGTTGAGCGGAGGAAGTGTCTTAATTGTCTTGAACACACACACACACACACACGCACATATTAAACCGTAGTCATGCACATCAATACCGCCACCACTCCAGTGCAAGCTCCAGCAGTCACAGTGGGTGCCCATCCTCTCCAGTCTGCCAAACTCCTGGGTGTTACCATAGACCACAAACTGGACTGGAAGGCCCATGTAAACAACACAATCAAGGCAGCCTCGTACCGACTCTACATGCTACGACGACTTAGGTCACTTGGGACACCCACGCCAGAGCTGAGGATTATCTACAACGCCTTTATTCTCCCCAAACTAACGTATGCGTCTGTAGTCGTCGTCTCTCAACGTCGGCTAAGAGAAGGGCTGAAAAACCGGCTACAACAACGCTCTCTCCACCCTGGAAATGCCATCCCTCAGTGACCTC